TTTTGTACCCATGTGTCTTTTTGTAGTCTAATTTAGTACAGTACTTTCAAAAAGTATATTCAATGTTTTTATTTTGTATTATTTTCTGTTCTTGTTTGTTAACTTAGCATGTACTACCTTATGTGTTTGAAGGTAAAAAAAAAAAAAAAATTGTTCCGTTTGTTATTGAACGGAAAAAAAAAAGTTGTCTTGTGAAAAGCTGGCGTCATGCTTGCCTGTTTCTGTGTGACTTGATTGTACCGTGTTTTATGAGGCAGCTCTAAGCTGCTGGGGTAGTTGCAGCGCTCCATCGCCTACATAGTTTCCTTCCTGGTAAAGTGGTAGGCTAGCAATATACATACTATATATACTATGAGATATCATTATTTTTTGTTAAACAGAATCCAAAAAGAAATGTTTGTGACTGTATGCATTTGTATGAATTATTTTAAATGAAATAAAAAGTCCAAATTAAATGACAGTCTGTTTTTGGAGGAGTGTGGAGTATATCACAATATTTTGCATTGTTGTCATAATGATATCATGATATAAAGAAAAAAAATTATATCAAAGTATTAAAAATAATACTGCTACTTTTTGAGGTGTGAAGATTCACAAAATTGAAAATTTAATAGGTGCATTTTTATAGAGCAATAAATACAATCAGCTGAAATGTGCTTTACGTTAATATGTTCATGTTTTCATTTTCAGTTTATTAGAGCATTCGGCAAAAGTACAGTATATGAAACAAAAGTTGTGCTTTTTAGTGTCCAGATCTAACGCTCTCGCTACAAGCTGATATACAGGGTGATTCAAAAAGATTCATCCGATTTCAAAGCGCCATATTTTTACAACCGTGTGGCGCCTAGGAACCAATCACAATCCGATTGAAAGAGGGGGTCACAGAGTTTCTGACCGTCACCAGAAGATGGCTCCCCTTCAGTCTGAGAGGAGATGCGACCCCTGAGCAGAAAGCGTTCTCCAATAAGAGTGAATCCGTCATAACTGGGTGACGTGATTTTCGTGGGCAGTGAACCTCCAGCAGTTCAGATCATTCGTCGTTGGTTCCACAACACTGGAGGATCTCTGAAATCGCACTGAAAGAGCCATGAGTGCAGCGACACCCGACATGCTCAATCGAGTATGGGATGAATTTGACTATGGTGTTGATGTTGTCTGTACAGCTGGAGGAGGTTCATATTGAGCACTTATAAAATTACATAATAAACTTTATGCTCACTTAAACCATTTACAGTTTACTGCATTGTTCTGTAATGATTTACAAGTGAAATAAATCATTTTGAAATCAGATGAATCTTTTTGAATCTTGCTGTTTTAGCCCTAAGCTAACATGCAAGTAGCAATACAACTATACATGTGCTGCTATACAGACGGATACAATACGTAAGTAGTAGTACCTAACTATTGCTAGTACTGCTAATAAAAATGTTTTTTTTAATTTATCATTACGATCATATAATTTTGTTAAAAACGCTTCAAAGTTACTTGCTCAAAACTGATTCCTGTAGGCCCCATGCGTCAAACACAAGGCATGCAGGCCCGTGGCACAATCCTATTCGGCCGCAAAAACATTTTAACTTCCTATTAGCATTAGCCCATTTCATCATGAGCTGCACTACAGTTCCCAGCATGCTCTGCAACGTAATGTGTGCTCCCACCCCCTCCCCAACAACGATCTGTGGGACAACACCACAAAACAAAACAAAAAAAGGTGCCAGGTGTCTAGTTCCAGCAAATGGACCTACGGTACACTGGGGACATTTAAAGAGGTCTAAATGTTTTTATTTTAACCTTTTAAACTCCTTGAGTCCACCGGTGGTTCCAAAACTCGCACTTCGTCATATTCTTCATAACTTTCATATTTCATAAGCTTCATTCAAAGGGTGAGTGTCATATGAGAGCTGTAACTGCCTTGTTTCCAGTCAAATAGATGGGTAATGTAATTTTAAACCCTTATAATAAAAGAAGCTGAACTCACAATTTTTTTGTCTTCTGAAAGTCGACCCATTTTTCCACAAATCTGGGCTATAAACTATAAACAGATGGCGTCTCTTCAGTGATCTGCTCTGTAAAAATTATTTTTATTAATAAAATACAAAGAGCATCTAAGATTTCTGGCTTTCAGCAGTAAATTGTAAGCATATAGCAATATGTGTGATCATAAAACACATGTTCTGTTAATCTGAGGGGAGCTTTTACAAAAAAAAATAAAATAAATAAAAAATTACATTTATTTCATAGTTACTGAATAATTTGCCTTATGATTTGTTCATGTAAATTCAGATGGAAAAACCAAAATATACCTGTTAATATTATTATTTTATTAATATTACTATTAATTATTTTTGAATCGTTCAAGTATTCAGTGCCTATTTTTTGCTGCTGTAGTTTCGGCATTTTGAATAAACAATGACCATTTGGGGTCATGGCAACGTGTTAACTAGAAATAAAATAAAAACAGATGGCTTAAATATAAAAACACTTTTAGTAGTTGAGCTTGACACCCCTGATGTAGGCGGTACTGCAAGATAACACGATTTCTTTAAGCTGTTTAGCCTCATGTTTAATATAACCTAATGTAACACCTCTGGTAATTTACATGTTTTGTTGATTTGTTAAGTGTAAATAAGTTAGCACCTCCTCTTCTGAGAACACAGTAAATATGGAATTTTTCCTGCAAGTTTTAATGCAAAGATTCTATTCATTCAACACTGCAAGAAAAAATCAAACAGAACAATTTATGTTTGTTTTCCAAATACATATGTAGAGGATTTGTTAACCTTTCATATAGAAAACCAACAAAACATATCAATTGACCAGGAGCACCCAAACGTATGACCTTCCTCCCACATCTAGGTCTTTGCCAGTATGAAAATAAACATTTGTTCACTTTTCTCAAGAAATATGAAGAAACATTGTTAAGCCTGCAGCTTAATGAGCAGCTGTGATGTTTAGTAAATTACTGTCTTTATTGACATTTCCATCAGTTTACAGTAGATTCCAGAGTTAACACTTAAAGAAATCACCACAGATACCCTCTTGTGGACACTTTCATATAACATCAAATCAGCAGACCAAAGCACAGCAACAATCTGTCATGCTGAAAAAATGTCCTTGAAAATACAGAGATTCTGGATCTCCCTTTAAAACAACGATCCTCGTTCAGCTTTCTGTCCGGACGATTGTATTACTTGAGTTTTTGATATCATATCTGATATCAGGAAGATGTCTCCTGAGCGCACCTGCCCAGGCCCATCGAGACGCAAAACCTGAGTAGAGCCAACAGACAGTGGAAACTGTTCAGACGAAATAAAGGGTCCGACTCATTTACATTCATCTTCGCCATTATGAATCAATTACCACTATCAGTTAATGAGCCCCTTTAATGAAAAATAGTAGTGTAAACATGCAATAGTGATTCAGACACTGACGGGCAGCCAGTGAGTTTTTTTTCTTTCCTGGGTAACTAGAGTCTCCTTGTATTACATCACATGCGAGAGAGCTGAAGCAAGGAGATACATTCCCAATCATAACCATAGTTATAATATCCAGCATTACATTATTAGGGCATTAGGCTCATGTGTATTTATAATGAAGTATTTATGTTGTGTTTGTACACTCACTGGCCACTTTATTAGAAACACCAACCGTGTAGGTTCACCTGTTGTTGCATCTGTTGAGTTTGTGTTAGCCATCCTTTATCAATGGCCAGTTTCTGACCATAGAGTCCCTCTAGGCTGGATATTTTGGGTGGCGGACTGCTGCGCCCGTCACCAGCACCACATGCTGTCACTACCATGTCACTGCTGTGCTGAGAGTGGTGCAACACCCCAATAATATCTGGGCAACAGCAGTCCTGTGGAACAGGAACTGACCTGAGATGCACAGGGTGGCTGGCAAACTGTGCAGGACAACACTGTGCAAAAGTGCGAGACCACCCTTTTGATCAGTATTTAATTTGTCTTCTCAACTAAAGGTTCCCAAAGCAGGCCCCCTTCAGATTTGCATCTAAAATGGCTAAAAGGGTATATTTCATAAGAGATTAGATAAGATAATCCACTTGCATAAGGAAGGGGAAAGTCAAGAAAATCAAAAAATGATAAAAAAAAAGAAAATAAGACTCCTAATAATCACCTCCAAGACCTGACGGACCACCAAAACTGTGCTTTCATCTTTAAGAGGTAAGAGAAAATCAAACTCCACTCTGCTTCAGATCTGAAAAAATCCACGTGTTTCTGTCCATCTGTGAGAAGACAACTAAACACTGTGGGTCTGAAAGGATGTGTAGCTGTCAAGAAGCCATTACTAGATCAAAAAGAACATTTGCACTAAAACAGACCAAAACTGGATATTTCAAAAGGCTTTATGGATTGATGAGTCTAAATTTGGGACCGCTTGGATGGTGAGAAGCACACACACACATTATCTAAGCTGCTTATCCCTCTGGGTTGCGGGGGTGCTGGAGCCTATCCCAGTGGTCACTGGGCAGAAGGCAGAAAACACCCTGGACAGGTCGCCAGTCCATTGCAGGGCTGGTGAGAAGCAGAAAATGCAAACAAAACCTCTAAGACTGAACTTTGGAGGTGTGGAAAAATATCCCTGCAGATTTCTTTGATAAACTGAAAGCAAACCTCCTGAAAAGAACATAAGTTGTAATAAAGGTAAAAAACGATCACAGTAAATACTGAAAAAAAATATATGTAGTTGTTCTTCTGTGTGATTTTCTGTTAAACATGTCGCTGCTATCGGAAGAAAACCATTTTTGTTGTGTTTCAGTTTGTGACATAATTTAAAAATGCCTGCTGCCCTTTATATTGTGTGTAAATTTCATGAAGAATGGACCAAAATAAATGACCAAAAATGACTTGGAAAAATGTCTGGTTCCATAGACTTACATTAGAAGTAAAGTATGTTTTTTCTTCTCCTGTAAAGTCACCATTGTGGAGATACAAGGTTTTCTTCAGACAACAGCAACAATATGTTTTCTGTCTTTTCCTGACACCTTGTACTTAATAGTCATCTTGACTGAAAGTTAATCAAATGAAAGGGTGGTCTCTAATTTTTGCACAGTACTGTATATAGTGGACCTATAAGGTAAGTGAATCTCATAAAGTGGCCAGTAAGTGGAAGTCAAAGTAGTTGTTCCTAAGTGGATGATGAGTGTATTAATAATGTATTCATACTGAACACTTGCACAAAATATTACAAAGAAAAAGCACAAATCATAGTGACTTGCTAACGTACCTGGGGTCTGACAAAATAAACAGAAAAGAAAAAATAAAAACAAAACAAAACAAAAGCCCATCCCATTTTGGTTGGCATGCCCCATCACAAGTGAAGAGCCCCAAGTCATAAAGACAAAGTCGGCATGTTTGTTCATGGATAAGGCGTGTCCTGTAGGTACAGGGGAGTCTTCTCATTAAGTGGCGGGTCATTTCACTGAGGAGGAGCGTCCTGTAATTGTGGGGGCCTGTCTTGTTCTAGTCGGTGTCCTGCGTGGTGCCCGTGGTGGCTGTGCCTGTCCTGAAAGATGTAGAGGTTGTTGCTGGCCGCGATGGCGATGATGTTGTCCGTAGGGTGCCAGGCGGTGTGGAGGATTTTCTTTCGGAAGTCCAGACTGTCCACGCTGACATCACTCTCCCTCTTCTTCCTCCCCACACACACACGGCGGGGCCGGAGCACGGCCCGGCGCTTACATACCTCCCGACTGGCCTCCAGAGTCACGTCCCGCCTGCTGGCCCGGTCGAACATCCGGAAGAAATTATTATATGCACCTGTCATGATTACACTGAGAGAGAGGGAGAGAGGGAGAGGGAGAGGGAGAGAGAGAGAGAGAGCGATGAGTAGAAGGAAACATCTGGACCGATGCTATCCTCGGGATTTTCGTACATGCAAGTTTTGACCTAAAGGTTGCACATGAGCTCTGAGTTATGATACATAAATCAATATTCACAGTGTGAACGAAGTTAACATTTAAAAATAAAGAAATACATTTTCAATGCAATATATTTGATTATATTTATTATATTTTACACTGAAATCTGTTATACAGTGATATGCAAACATTTGGGCACTTGGTCAAATACGTTTTGTTGATTTTCTAAGGAAAAATATAAGCATTTTAGTGCACAATTACTGGTTATTCGCTGAATTCAGCATATTGGAAAAAAGTAAAATACAAAATATAAAATGTCTGTGCAAAAGTTATGGCACATTTTATACTTAAATTTTTTACGTTTCATTTTTTCAGTATGTTTAACTCAATGCAGATGACTGCATATCATCACTGTCTGAACAAAACCTCCAAAAATGTAACTTTTTACATCATAAATGGCCCTAATACTAACCCTAACCTTAACCTCAACCCAAAGCCCAGCCCTAACCTTCACCCTGGCCCTAATCCTAACCCTAACCTTAACCTCAGCTCACAACCTAACCCTTACCCTCTTACGTTTTTGACATGTTACTAAGAAAAAATGTTGGTTTCACCTAAAAAGGCCACTCAAAATAAAGTATCACCTTTTTTAAAAGTATTTTGCACCCCCAAAGTCTGGAAGGGCTAAGTTGTGACAGTCACTAAAAACTCTGGTAAACTGTTGCGAACACTTTTAAATTCAATACAGTTTTGTGTTGTTTGAACCAGAGGAGGTTTCCAATTTTCACCCCATTTCACCCAACATGAGACTCAAGATCGGCAACTTATCTGCAATTTTACACTACATGCTTAGTCAAAAGCAAAAGTTAAAAGTTACAAGGTAAATAAATGAATAAGTATTTAATCCCAGACTATACATGCCTTATTCCAATGCACATTATACAATTTGTTGCCCAATTTTCCTTTTTGTTATTAACATTTATCCTGTTATCCTGGTGGAGGAAAGGATGGCAGGTAATACGTCTGTTTCCTAAGTGTAACTTTCAGAAATCACGCTTAGGCTTTCAACTGTAACTGCTTGTGTTATGTAGATTTTACAGTAGGGGATGATCAGGCTAGCTAACCTGCCGACAGTGTTCACAGCTACAAAGCACTTAAAGCAAAGACTCTGTAATTATGATTTGCAAGCTTAGAGCCGTCTGATGAGTTTCCACAAGGATGTTGCCTTTGAACAGCTCAGGCACATAACCCAAATTTATGAGTTGTGACAAATGACCAGCCAATGCTTTATGATTCCACTTGAACACAGTTGACCAATCTGGTCACATGATATATTTGCTAACTGCTGACCATGAAACACTAACAACTGGCAGTTACAGTTTTATTACCAGCTGTTTGGAGTGAATAGTATGTGTCAGTTCTTCAGCTCATGTAAGTTGATGAGTGCAGCATTATTATTATTAAACGTTAGAAATGAAATATCAAGTTCTGACCTGTCTGTTCCGTTCCAGGCACATTCAAACTTATCAAAGATGCAGTCGCTTTCGTAAAGCGTGCACAGTTTGGAGCGCAAGTAATCATGGACCTGTAAACACACACACACACACACACACACACACACAAAAAAAGATTACCTGTGATTCACTTCAAAACACAAATGTGTAAGTGTTAGTGTGTGAGTAACTGAGACCTGGTATGTCTCGACTGGTTTGTTCTCCATGTTGAGGTCCCACACTTTAGCACTGAGGTAGTCTCTGGTCAGCAGGTAGCGTCCACTGTGACTGAACTTCACATCCGACACAGATGAAATGATCTCAGAGAAGAACGATCGATTGGCAGGATCCACGGCCTCCTCAAACACTGAGATACAACACACACAAACACACACACACACACACACACACACAGACACACACACACAGCAGCCCCCGAAACAGATGCATTTAAAGTCACATTGAATTATTTACAACAAACCCTGGCTGACGAAAATGCACAGAGGCACATTTTGCAGAGATTAGCGCTGAGGCAGCTGAACTGAAAATGGACTTTAAAGCTCGTGTCATGGAAAACCACATTTTCTTTGCTTTGTTGAAATAAAGGTGTTTGATGCAGCATGTAAACACTTTTAAAGTATAACAATGTACCATTCACTCCCCAGTTCATACAATCTATATGGAAAAACTAAGTTGTGAAAAAAAACAGCCTGTTTAGAAATTGATCTATTCAGTCTAAAGCAGTTACGCCAGACTTATTCATGCTGTTATAAGGAGGATTTCAGCCCGAATGCCTTTTGAACAAGACACAATATTGTACAGTCAATCAGAACAGAGCTCAATTACATAAGGGTACAGTATTAAAAAAGCCTGTTTGATTCTTAGGAATAAAGAGAGGTTGAAAATCTTTCATGTAAAAATTAATTGTGACTGTTTTTGGTACATAAAACCACACAAATGTCAAAAGCAGACCTCAGATGGAACAAATCTGAAAACATAAAAAAAAGGTAGGATATGGGCCTTTTAAAATAGATCAACATTAAAACTAGAATCAGCCCATCGAAAACAAACAATGCACTGCAAGCAACTATTCTAAATTTTTGATACTACTGAATAAAATAAATTATACTGAATAAAATACAAGTTATAAAACAGATAATTTCAGTTCTGACTGGCTGAGAAACATTCGAAGCCATTCATCATGAAGTTATGGCTCTTTATGCTGCTTGGCAACCATAGCTTACTGTTAATCACACTGCTTGGTGGAAAAAATGTTTATCGAGTTTATTAATAATAATGAATGAAACTACATAGTGAACATTGGTGCATTTAATCATTGTATTTTGTCAGCCTTTTATAACAGCAGTAAGCCTTTAAAGGCCGTGTGTTTTTTCCAGTCTAACTGAGCACCTTCCCAACGACCCATTCCGAGAATTTGGTGATGTCCCCTTAAACTCATTTAAATCTGCAACAGTTCTGAGAAATCACACAATTAACAGAGATGGTGACAGAAACCAGACATCCAAGACATTTAATGCCTCTAAAAGCTCCCTCACAGAAAGTTACTACATGAAATGGTTATGATTGCACTGCCTGGTGCCTGAGACACTGTTGTATAATAGTTTTGAGAAGGTTTTGGCCTGAAACATATTTTCTAAAAGCCAGTGATGGTGGGTGCTGTAAGAGAAAAAGGAGAAAAACCTATTTTCTCAGATCAGCATTACCTATGAAAACTCAAAGGTGGTTGTAAAGGTGGACAGCAAATACTATGGCTATGTTTGTGTTTACGACCCCTGGTTCCTATCACCGCCACTGTAAAGAAATCCACGTCTATAAATGTCACCACTCTGAATGACTTTGTTTACATCTCAACAATTAAATTATATAGAGTTTTTAAAAAACCAGCTAAATTTACCCTTTAACCTCAGCAAACGTCTAGCAAGCTTGATGTTAACCCCAATTAAAGCACAGTTATAGTGACATCTAGTGGCAGATTTCAAAATAACACAGCAATTTGGTTTGGATTGAAACACAAACATGCTTTAAACCTCCAGCCTCCAAGGACACAGTAATACAGAGTTTAAGAAATGACATCTGTCCATTACTGGTGTTTACTAGGCCTTAGAGAAACCACTGCACCTTTTAACAAACCCAGTTTTGTTGGTTTTACAGTTGTTGTTTTAACAAAACACATGACGCCTACAGGATTTGCTGACTGGGGCAGTTTGCAGTTCTGAAAGTATGCATCACTAAATCAACAAAAACTGGTTTTGGAACTGTTTTTATCCACCTTTCCTAGACCACATGACTCAAATGGTCCTCAAACAATGTTCAGTTAGCTGTTTAATACTTTGCACCTACTCTCACTGGCCATTTTATCAGAAACACCTACCAGTTTACAATTTCTGACTGTAGCTTATCTGCTCAGTGATAATCATCAATGATAGAGTGGAGAGTCACTGATCAGTGACTCTCCACTCTATCAATGGGCCACTGGACTGGATATTTTCACCCCTTAAGTGATGGAAGTCGCATGTTAGAGTGCAACACTCACATTTCGCATGCTGGTCACACAGCGCGCGGGACCTCATGTCACAGAGGCGTGTGGTGCCTGTGCTGCTGCTGAAGGCCATCAGGTGGCAGTGGTGAGGGTGGAATTCTGCCACTGTGATCACCTCACTGAGCTCCTCCATGTTCTCTGGCTTTAGATCCACTATATCTGAGAGATGTGTTAAAGGAAACCCAGAGACACACACATACGCAACATACAATGCTGTGCAAAAGTCAGAGACCACCCACCCATTTAATTTCCAGTAAAAACGACCATAGAGTACTACATAAAGTATTTAGTACATACATTTAACAGAAAATTACACACTGGACTGCTGTCCACAGTCTAATTCATCCAGTGTGGTACTGGGTATCATAGCACAGTGTTTTTATTGTGGTCGGTTTTAAGAAAATGGCTTTAAAAAGATTTGTCTACTTATCTACTGCCTTTACTTATGGCTACTGATTTATGTTTAGTTGTTCCTGCAGGTTAGCTTTTACAAAGTCAGGACAGTCTGGTCCTACATGATGTACAAAAACCAACACACTCTCACTCACACTGGACTGTGTAGGATACTGAAGCTGCGGTCTGTGATGTCGAGATTCCACAGGTTGATCCTCAGGTCATCAGCTGACAGGTACGTCTCACAGTCACTGTTTATGCTGATGGAGTTGATGTGATAGGCATGAGCGTTCGCAAACACGCGCCGCAGAGACGCCTCCACCAGCAGATCCATCGGCCGCAGCACTGGGACCTACAGCAGCACACAGAAACATACACATAACTACTAGTGTTCAAATGTTTTTAATAATATGAAACCTGTTGTGTTGCACATACATGTATAAAACGAATCTAAAATAAAGCTAATATTTCTAAAAAATAACAAAAATGAATGAATGATCAAATATCTACTCACAGTTATTGTATTTCAAATACTACAAATTGACAAGTACAGTTTATTTTGTGTATATTTACTGTCATATCTTTTTGTCATTCCCAAAATACTTTAAATTGTGAATAAACCATCTGTTTTCATTTTGGTGTCTAGTTCACATCTCGATGCACACTGTCTAAACTATTATTGAATACGGTTGAAAGACTCATATCCTACATTTTCATGTATTTTTTCCCCCTCGAGGTCAACTTATGACGTTTGTGTGGTTTTATGTACCAAAACCAGTTGTATTTTATTTTTACATGACAATTTTCCAACCTCTCTTTATCCCACAGAATCGATCAGAGTGTTCTGTTACTTTCCCTTTTAAGACTGATATATGTAAATGACCTTGTCTGATTGGCTGCCCTGCATTGTGCTCTATTCCAAAAGCAGTCTGGGCTGAAACACTCTTTGTAACTTCAAAATGAATGGGTGTGGCTAAACTGCTGTAGGCTTTCACAAAAACACTGGATTAAACATGGGTCGTTTAACAGTTGGGCCTCCATGTATGGACCGAGGAGCGAACGGTACACTTTAAAACTTTAACAATGTCAATGTTATAATAAGTGATTCCAAACGTCTGAACAGCAGTGTACAGTGTAGAGCAGTGTGATTATCTCATAACTGTTACTGTGATCACACACACACCTGAAGAGAAGTGATTTTAGAAATGTCCTTCATTCGGCCCTCTTCATCTTTCAGGTTGTAGCCTTCAGGCCGCTTGTCTCTCTCGCTCACTTTCCACAGCTTGATGGTCTTGTCTGAAAACACACACATACACTTACACATTAGGTAGAACTTCATCCTTACAAAGACACAGTTCTGTCAAGAGTTTGGACACGAGTTCCGGAAGGACCTTCTTACTATTCTTCTCACTAACAAATCTGCCTTGATGGAGCTTTGCACATTGGCTGTGTTCTCTCTAGCAGCTGCATGAGGAGCCGCATGGGCTGCTGAAGAAGCCCCTCACAAAACTGCTTGTTGGGAGATCATTTTAAAATGTTTTATTAAATGTAAATTTTTTGATAATAAATCCATACAAAGGCATGGACTTCACTATTTCTGAGTATCTCAGAAACGATTTCAATCATTTAGAGGGCCTATGTCAGGCGTCGGCAACATGTGGCCCTGTTGTGGCTCCACAGCTGAATTAGATTTGCATGTAATAATAAAATAATCCTCCTTTACAGTAAAATAAAGCTCTGCTGATCGTTCAACACAGTTTAACAATAAATGGTCTTAAACACTGGAGTTAATGTAGAACTGCTAATTCACCCTTTAACCCTGAAGGTTGGTGCACAGACTGCTGGTCACCATAGCAACACAGACAACAGTCTCGCCTAGCTAGTAGCTAACGAAAAGGCAAAGAGAAAGATTTAAGGCGAACATCGATAATTTGGAGACAAATAGACTTATTTGCATTTATAATCACTCCAGCTGGTTTCCTGATACGTTTAATCTGCAACGAGAAACTCAAAAACGCTACAAAGTCGCGAAGTTAAAGTCAGCTTCTCGCTCGCCAGCTACCTGTTTGAATTTTCTCATTCCACCTTAAATGGTGCAACAGTTAGCTACATAGTTAGCTACATTCCGGCGCCTCGGGCACCATTTAAAGTGAAACAGGAAAATATGAAGCGACTTCAGCCTCATAAAAAGTCGAGAGACATTTTACAAGAAACTGTTCTATTTTTGTGGGAAGGTTTCCTGCCAGATATGCGAGAAAAGCGGCTATAGCTGAGCTAAAGCTTAAAGCAGAGCAGAGTAAGTCTGCGTTTTCCTTATATATTTTTAGTCTATACTAGGACATTAATACATACTGAGACATATAAACAGCCAAGGTGGTGAAACGTAACTTCAATTAAATAGACATGAAATGTTGTGGCTCCCAAGGTGGTTAGATTTTTGTTGAAACTTGACAAAATGGCTCTTCTTAATGTTTGGGTTGCCGACCCCTGGCCTATATCCTATATTTTTTAATGTATTTTTTTGGCCCTGAGGTCCTGTTTTATGCACGAAAACTACTAAAACTATTTATTTATTTATTTTGTACATTTTGAGCATTTTTACCTCCTACAATTAAACAGGCTGTTTCTGTTACTGTGCCTTTAAGGCTGATATATGTAAATGATCTCTGTTCTTATTGGCTGCCCTGTACTGTCTCATTCAAAAAGCAGTCCAGGCTGAAAAACTCCTTATGACTTGAGCATAAACAGGTGGGGCTAAACTGCCGCAGGCTGAATCACCAGATATATGTAAATGCATTGGCTTTTGTTACATCACAAAAACACTGGATTCAAAATGGGTTGTTAAACAGCTGAGTTTCCATATATGGACTGGGGAGTGAACAGTACACTCTGATACTTTAACAATGTTTACATTCTACATCAATGTCTCACGTAAAAAAGCGATTAAAATGGGTTCTTGATGATACAGACCCTGTAATGATGAGCTTTTAGATCAAAATGTCTTTGAGAAAATGAAAAACATACATTCAATCAGGTGTGTCCAAGCTTTTGACCAGCACTGCACATCCAGTTAAATGTGTAATAATTCGTGTGGATAAGCAGAAGCACAGTTTTTGAAGCGTAGGTGGCTCTGATTTATCAAAACAAAGCATCACCATTGGTGGTGAGGAGGAAGTGGGCGGAATTAAGCTGAGGTAACCAACGGATCTTATTGATCTTCTCCTCAATCTCCAAACTCTTCAGATAGTCAAACTCTGGCTCATGGCTCTGAAACGTACTGTACACGTTATACTCCCCCTGAAAGAAAGAGAGAGAGAGAGAGAGAGAGACACTAAAAACATATGTAACACAGGTTTCCGAGCAAGTTGCTGTTTAGTACAGTAACAAACTGACAATGTACTGGGACACATTTTGCACCACTGTTGTCATACCAGAGGTTCTCTCTGGAAAATGACCACTCTCCCGCCCTTGTCGCCTGTGGCCAGGAACTCTCCTGATTGGCTGAACTCCACCGCAGAGATGACATCAGCTGAATCAGGGATAGAATGAACATCCAAAAACAATTTACTGTGCAACGGTAGCTCCATACCAGTGTTTACGGCATGACATACATGCCTATGAATGTAGCCGTCTACGTAGCCTAAAACCAATTCATATAATAAAATAATCATGCTTGTTGTACTTAAACTCTGCAAGTATTATATTAAATGCATTGTTAAGTTTTGGCTGGTAAAAAAGGGTTAAATTCTTAAAAGTGCCCAATCAGGATTTTTTCTCAGCGGTCTCTAGTAAAGGTGAGCTCTCCCATTGGTTAGGAATTCAGGAGCTGCACAGAAGGCCTTATATTTTAAATTAACTACTAACATAATTAACAACTGACAATGAAATCAGTATATGATACTTTAATTTCTGAAGGGTGGGAACAATTTTGTGAGAAAAAGGCCTTCTGTTTGGGTCTGGGTTTATTCTAGAACGTTAATGTTTTACTGCTAGCTTAGTGCTAACATACTACTAGAACACTGTAGGGCTTCTAGCAGAAATTATCATTAACACAGAGGTGTTTTTCCTTGTATTTGACCTGTTTTAACATTTATGGCCTAAACAGAAGGCCTAGTTCAAATAGTCACCACTGATTTTTAAGGGTGCTGCATCAAACACCGACTGTACCAAAGTATACAGAATACCAATATCTTTATACTAGCAGACACAAAAGTAAGCCCTTCAGCAGCAACGCAACTAGGCAGACAACTCTGGATCAAGTCTGGACATCTTGTCAGTAAAATAGCTAGTCTGGGTCATTCAATATATCATCGCTGTCATAAGAAAGCCTTGTAAAATCAAATCAAACAGCTTCAGTTGATCAAGCAGCTGCCAAAGTCTCACTAGGAGTAAAAGAAAGGGATCACCCTCATTCTCTGTTATAGAATAGACTTTGATGCTATTACTGATCTATAAATGGCTTAATGGTGTAGGACCAGCATATTTATCTGCTATGCTACATTGATATGAGCTGAACAGAACTCTCAGATCATTAAGAACTAGTCAGTAAGTCTAGACTAAACATGAGGAGCAGAGTTTAGCTACTGTGCTGCTCTCAAATGGAACCAGGAGACAGAGAGAATTACAAGAGCCCTGACACTGGACACTCTTAAATCTGGGCTGAACACGTTCCTATTTGAGCAGCTTTCAGCTCAGTTCAAAACCCTGTTAGCTCTGCTGCACTTCTCTCCTGTAACGGCACTTTACTATCTTAAGATTTTTAATTTAATGTTTCATTTTTGCCCTGCGATGGACTGGCGACCTGTCCAGGGTGTATCCTGCCTTCCACCCAATGACAGCTGGGATAGGCTCCAGCACCCCACCGCAACCCAGAAGGATAAGCGGTTTAGATGATGTATGTATGTATATGTATGTATGTATTTTTACTGTTCACACATTTTAGAATAGTGAAATAACCGCCTTGTAGATGTAAAGTCAGAGGCGATAGCACATCTGTCACTGCACAGTTTGTGTTAGTTGTTCTCTAGACACTGCTGTGTCTGATCCACTCATACCAGCACAACACACACTAACACATAACCACATCAGTGTCACTGCTGTGCTGAGAATGACCCATCACCAAATAGTACCTGCTCTGTGAGGGTCCTGTGGTGGTCCTGACCACTGAAGAACAGGGAAAAGGGGGCTAACAAAATATGCAGAGAAAGAGATGGACTACAGTCTGTAATTGTAGAACTACAAAGTGCACCTATATGGATAATGGACAACTTTCGACTGGTAGTGTATGTATTACAGAGTATTACTGTACTATATATATATATATATATATATATATATATATATATATAGCAATTATAACATAACAGCAACAGTATGTAATATTGGCATGTACAGTCACCTGGCATATGCAGTATGACAACCACATACAGAAACCTGCTGTAAGTCTCATAAAATATCACTCACTTCTTCTTGCAAATCATTTTGTTGTATACAAAAAAAAAGTCCTATCAACATCATTCAGATCCTGCTGAAACCGCATCAAACCTGCAGGGACGACTGAGCGTGTGCGTGTGTGTGCGCGTGCGTGTGTGCGCGTGTGCTCTTTGGACAGTGTCATGGTTACTGTAATTAAGAGAAAACCAGAACCAGCATCCAGATGTGCTTTCAGCTAAACTCGAGCTAATCAAATCTGGGCAGTCACGTTGGCTTAGTGGGGGTGATTATTCATCTTCTGAGTAACTACTAATGTGTCACCACAAACAAGAGATAATGTATGCAAGGCAACATGATGAATGGTCTACTGCCACTGTGAAACAGGCCTCAATAGTGATCAGACACACCTGAACGTGTTTGCGTGAGATAGACTGGAGCTCGGTACAGTGTGGGTGGCTGAAGTAAGTGTAACCCTCCGTGAAGGACTGTACTGGGGGTGGGCGGATCGATCCAAATATCGATACTATCGATACCAACGTTGGTATTGGTATCAGATTGAGACTAGCATTATGGGATCGATACTTCTCTCCTCTACGTTCGATACGCTGCTCTTCTTTCATCAAAAAGTAGACATGTCTGTGCGATTAAGTTATCTTATTATTTAATTGTTCCTGAACAAAAAACACAGACTAAAGGAAAGAAAATTTTAACTTTTAAAACATTCATTTTTCACATTCAGTAGTAATTTTGTGGAGAATTCATGTCTGGAAATTATGTTCATTACAGTAATAAAAAATATTTTTTATTTGCCTAAAAACTTTGCTGTCCTTGGTTTTACATGCACATGATTAACTAATTAACAGTGAAAAGCAAAAATCACAAAATCACTTAGTGGTAATGACAATGTGTTCAGATTTAGCATATTGATGATAGAGTCAGCTCAGAAATCATGACAAACTGCTCTCACCTACATGAAAGTACATAAGCTGGTTTATAAGTAAAAGGTATCGGTATCTGCATTGGTATCTGCGATACTGGCCTTGTATTTACTTGGAATCAGATTGTTAACAAATTTTGCAGTATTGCACACAACTGGATTGTATGGGTGCTGCTTTCATTACTATATAACTGCAACTTCTAAAAATATTAATATAAGAGAAGCTTTAAAAAGGATGTTGAGCACAGGAAATGTTATGTTAGGTATGTTACATTTTTATTACAGCAACACAAACTGCTTCCCTTAGCAACCTCTAGACAATTTGGGGGGGTGTCGCTGAAAATGCAAGCAGTTTAGCTGTCCAGAATAAAAGTGAATGCAGAGCTGTGGTTCAGTTCTGTACCCAGATAAAATTGAAATGCTGATTCACCCTTGATTGCCTCGCAGACTGCTGGTCACACAGCAACGCAGACAACAATCTCACGAAGCTAGTAGCTAACAGCATGGCAAAGAAGAGAAAGATTTAAGACAAACATTGATAATTAGAGACAAATCGACAGACCTATTGCATTTATAATCACTCTCGCTGGTTTCCTGATACGTTTAATCTACAACGAGAAACTATCAAACACTAAAAAGTCACGAAGCTGAAGTCTAATTCTTGCTCTAATTTTCCCATTCCACCTTAAATGGTGGAAATTCTGGCACCTCAGGCACAATTTAAGGTGGAACAGGAAAATTCAAACAAGAAACTGGCCAATGAGAAGCTGACTTCAGCCTCGTAAAAACTTGAATGTTAAGAGACATTTAAGAAGCAACTATTCTAATTTTGAGGAAAAGTTTCCTGCCGAAGATGCGAGAAAAGCGGCTATAGCTCACGTAAAGCTTAAAGTAGATCAAAGTAAGTCTATGTTTTCATTTATATTTTTTGGTTTATACCAGGATATTAGCACATACTGCGACATATGTATAGCCAAGATGGTACAATTTTACTTCAATGAAATGGACTTAAAATGTTGTGGCTTCCAAGGTGGACTAATTATTGTTGAAAGGACAAAAAATGCCCATTCTTAACATGTAGGTTTCCGACCCCTGGCCTTGAGTGATGTTTTTCTCTCAATACTGGTCCCACCCTCTATAAATTAAACATGATTGGTTAGATCCTGTGTCGTTTCCTAATTACGCTGGTAGTTAATCTAACATGAAAGGCCTTCAGTCCGGCTCCTGAAAGCCTAACCAATGGGAGAGCTTGCTTACATTCAGCAGAAAAACTCCTAACTAGACAATTTTCCATTGGAAGTTTCAAGATCTTAACCCTGTTGAGTTCAATATTTGCAGAGTTTAAACACAACAAGCACAATGATATATAAAACAAACAAGTACGTTACCCTCTGTGTACTCCGGCTCCAGGGCCGAGAGCTCGGAACAGAGAACAGGGCTCAACATTCTGGAGTGGGATGGGGGGCGGGTCTACAGCTTAACCAATCCTGTGAAAGTGAAGGGGCATTAGTGAAAAACTATGGTTTGATAGACAGCAACAGAGATTAGCTATGCATGCGGATCTACTAACAGCATATAGCAAGTTATTTAAACATGTGGGTCAGTCTCACAGCATGATCACAGATCAACCCTCCATACACACACACTCACACATACACACACGGTGGGGGGTCATAGGATTGAGATTAGCTAATCTAATCCTTATCAGACATAAACAGAAGATTATGAGCCAAAATCCCAGATCAGACTCGCACATGCACGACTGTCGTCTGGTCCGCTGGCCATCAACTATCCCGGAGAGTGTGTCTGGAGTGTTTAAAGAGGATTACACTGCTTTGCTGAAGCCAGCAGACACCCTGACGGAAAAGAGAGAGTTACAGCAATGGACTCCGAACCACTGGACGCTTTTGGAAAATAGCTACAATTATACAACAGGAATTTCTACAGAAATGCAAAATACATTACCAGTCAAAAGTTTGGAGACGCCATAAGGCTTTCCTAATTTTTTACTATTTTAAACGTTTTAGAATAATAGTGAAATAACCGCCTTGTAGATGTAAAGTCAGAGACGATGGCTGGATATTTTTGGTTGGTGGACTATTCTCAGTCCAGCAGTGACACTGAGGTGTTTAAAAACTCCAGCAGCACTGCTGTGTCTGATCCACTCGTACCAGCACAACACACAACCACATCAGTGTCACTGCAGTGCTGAGAATGACCCATCACGAAATAATTCCTGCTCTGTGGTGGTCTTTGGGGGTCCTGACCATTGAAGAACAGGGTGAAAGGGGGCTTACAAAGTATGCAAAGAAACAGATGGACTACAGTCTGTAACTGTAGAACTAAAACTGCTCCTATATGGTATATGGATAATGTACTTTATGCATATTCAAATTTGACTGGTAGTGTATGTATTACAGAGTATTACTGTGCTATATAAGGCTATAGATCATTTTCTAAGCGGAAAACGTGTGAAGTAAAGCCATCACAAGTGTAAAAGCACGTTATCATGAAAGCCTGTGAAGGGTAGTAGCAATACTGTGGTCAAAATACTATTGCAATAGTGGTTAGACCATGATCTCAATACAGTGGTAGCGTTAGAGACCCCACAGTACCCACGTTTAGCCCCCCACATGGTTACCATACTATGACAATCCATGGTAAAATCAGGAGAATCAGACAAATGCCCATCTGCACATGCGTTCATACATGCACATGTTCCTTTCTCACCTCCTTCAGTCAGTCACATTGTTGCTGTGGCAGCAATGCTCAAATCTCTGGCTGCTGACTTCTTCATTCAGTCCCACCGCCGAGCTCTGACGCTGTGATGGTGTGAGTGAACAGATCGCGGCGAAGCATCCATTCTTCCTCCATCAGCATCTCCGTCCACCGCAAAGCCTTATGGGGCAGAAGGAATTCCAAGCGAAGAACGGCATGTCATGTACACACTGACGTATACAGTAATATGTTCTCCTGAACCTGCTCACCCTCTGCGGACACCCACACACACCGGAGCTGCTGGTGAATGACACGAGCGTCCCGTCTGGTCAGATCATCCGTCGGTCCGTCCGCTGGATTATTGCAGGTGATTGTAGATAAGCTGATGTGACTGAGGGAGGAGTGAAGCTCAGCCTGTCCGTTCTGCTGCATAGACTCCTCCCCCACCGTACAGCGAGAGGGAAACAAAGGCTCTGACTGACTCAGGATCGTCCAATCCTGTAGCAGCTCAGGGAACCGCAGCCAATCGGAGAGCAGCGCTCCAGTCTACGGCAACACGGCTCGGTCGCCTAGCAACCGCATCATTCTGTACTGCTGAGCGACGGTTACATAAACACGGGGAAAGCCTTCGGAGCGCTGGAGCGGTGACTGGACGTTTCGGTGGATTTCGCCATCAAAAACTGGTCATATTTCATCGTTTACCAGACATTAATCACAAATACTCCTCGTCTCCACACTACAGGTCCGAAAGTGTCCAGACACCCCTTTCCAGCGAGTGAACTCAGCTACTCTAAAGGGGAATTCCACAGAATTTTCAAAATGTCCGCATAATTCAGTAGTTGAGATGTAAACAAAGCCATTCAGAGTGTTTTGATGTGAAATAATAAAGTAATAATACATTCTGAATGACAGAGATTCTATATAGAGCCAGGAACACTCAAAGAACCATGCTTAATGGTTCTTTGCATGGTGAAATTGTTCTTCTGATTGATGGAGAATGTGTTGCATATGGTTCTATATAGCACCAAAAAGGGTTCTGTTATTATTTGATGTCAAACTTATAACAACAGAGGAACCCTTTTTGGTGCTTTGTAGAATAATTAAAAAAAAAGAACCATATGCACCACATTCTCCATCAGTCAGATTCATTCCACCATGCAAAGAACCATTTAAGCATATGAATGGTTCTTTGAGTGTTTGTGGTTCTATATAGAACCACTGTCTTTACTAAATAACCCCTTGAAGAACCATCTTCATCTTTTTTAGGAGTGTAAACCCACCAACTGAGAGTAACCAGGGATCGCAATGTAAACATAGCCATTTTATTTATTATCCAATGCCACCGGTGAACCCACACATATGTCTCTGAGTTGTTATATAATGTTGTAGTAGTAAATCTGGAAAAAACACATTTTCTTTAGTAGACTATTTTGCATTATAACACCCTGCATGTAGCCCTCCGCCATAAATGCCTCTAAAATATACACTGCAGGCCAAAACCTTGCTGCAGAGATGTTGTAAAACAACATCATAGGTATCAGGCAGTGTATTCTTAGCCATTTTATGTAATAACTTTCTGTGTGGGGGATTTTAGAGACATTAAACATTTCATATATTCTGCTTCTTATCACCACCACTGTGAACATTTATGACTCAGAAAGTTTCTGTAGAACAGAGCATACCAAACCACCCTGAGTCCCTTTGTTTACATCTTAGTGATGTAATTCTGCATTTTTTTTTGAGAAACTGAAATGGAATTGCCCTTTTGCTAGAGGGGATCCAGCATTGGGGTGTGGGGCAGTGAAGCCATGTTCTCTGGAGTAAGGTAGCTACAGTGTATAGTATTCAAGAATACTGAGACAAACCCTTTTTTGCCTGTTTTTTTGTACTTTAAAGGGGAATTCCACCCAATTGTCAAAGCTTCTGCATAATTCAGTAGTTGAGATGTAAACAAAGTCATTCAGAACGTGAAACTCAGAGATGTGAAATAATAAAGTAATAATACACTCAGGATGACTTTTTCATAGAAGACATAGATATCTGCATATTTCAGTAGCTGAGGTATAAACAAAGTCTCAGAGTGTTTTGATGTGAAATAATAAAGCAATAATACAAAGAATGACAAAGATTCTATATAGAACCAGGAACACTCAAAGAACCATATGCATGCTTAAATGGTTCTTTGCATGGTAAAATGGTCCTTTAGACTGATAGAGATTGGGTTGCATATGGTTCTAGATAGCACCAAAAAGCATTCTGCTATAGTTACAATGTCAAAATCCTATTTGGTGCTGTATAGAACCAAAAAAGAAACACATACAACTCATTCTCTATCAGTCAGAATCATTCCACCATACAAAGAACCATTTAAGCATACAAATAGTTCGAAAGGTTCTTTTTTGAGATGTTCTGGATCTCAACCACCTTTGAAAAGGAAAAAAGGCCACATACTGTGCATCTTAACACTCTCTGATCAGGAACAAAGTTGACTCTTCAATTCTACAGAGGATTCTAGAATCAATCAATCAAAAACTTGTTTAAGCCATCAGTTAGGCAGATGGTTAAAAGGGGGATTACAACCATTTTTCAAAATGTATGCATAATTACATCTTTGAGATGTAAACAGAATTATTCAGAGTGGCTTGATCTAAATTGGTTCATCGTAGAGAAATTTACAGGCGTAGATTTCTTTACAGCGATGGTGATAAAAACCAGAATCATGTCTACAATACAATTATAGCCATTTTATTTACTATGTAAAATGGATAATGAATCTAAATGTGTATTCTGAGTTTGCATATGTAACATTGGTAATTTACTATCATAAAACAATATCTCAAGCATCGGTGACATAGTGAGTGTAGTAACTTGTGAGACTCTTAGGCATTCCGACTCTTCGGCTATGTGGTCCCAGTCACCACTGCTGAAACAATTCTGTTTTAGAACAGAGCATTTCACACCAAATCACTCTAAATGACTATGTTTACATCTTTATTTCATTGTGCAGAAATATCTTTAAGGCAAAGGCATTTTAATGATGAATGATGTAATCCTTTCTCATGTTTGAGAAATACAATTTTACAAAAAGTGCTATTAGCTTTTCTAGTAAAATAATAAATCTAGTAAAATTATTAATGTTATTTTTTTGTTACTATTATTATTATTATTATTATTATTATTATTATACCTAATATCAATATCTAAAAACAGTTTTGTTTGTGATAAAAAACAATGTAGTGTTATATGGGAACATGTTCATTTTAATCTCTATAATCAAGTAATTGTACTTATTTATTAAATAATCATATTAAACCCATGTTTCTGCATATTTTAGCAGGATGTTTTAATTTACAGAGTAACTATGTAAACAAAAAAAAATATAATATACTTGACAACATTTTCTTTTTCCTGATTTTTTTTTTACACTAAGGCTCCAGGAAAAGCCTCTTATTTCATGGCTTATGAGTAGATTACGCGCACACACACACACACACACACACACACACACACACACACACACTCACACACACACACAGGGGGTAATGTGGGTGCACAGCAGCTCAGAGAACAAAAAAATCCCTTGACAATACCGTTACTGCAAACATTTCGGTCAAAGGGCTTTTATTTTGGCACACATAATTGGCTTTAGAATGCCTGTTTGCAGTGTTAAACTTCACTAATTACTATCTGTTTTTTTCTGTTGTGTATTATGTAGACAAAGTCTCAGAGTAGTTGCTGTCATGCTGCCCAGGCAGTTACACTTACTGTAATTTAAAAATGGGCTGGGCTAAACTGTTGTAGGCTGAATAGGCAGATATATGAGAACAAAAATATTTTTTGGTAGTGGTCAGATTTTAGACCACTACAGTGTGTACAATACAGAATGAGGGGACACGTTAATGTATACAATTAAGTAAACATGACTTATAATCAGTAATAATCACACATATTTATTCAATGATTATATTAAATCCACAAATTAATCACTTTAATATTTAAGATATACATAAAAAAATCAAATAAACCTGTTTCAATATTATCTTTATTTATATTTCTTACATACGCGATCAGAATCACACACACACACTGCTCTTTGTTACTTTGCTCTGCACTTTATTTTCTACACAGACAGTGAAAAGATCATCATAACAGTATGTCTCCCTCTGCTGACATTATGCCCACACTACTCACTACATTTCCTGGTGAAACTACAAGAAATCTTATCTTACAGCTTTGTTTTAATGAGATTTGTCTGGCTTAATCCAACCGGATTAAGATTCTTTTCTTGTCAACAATCATATCAAGTAAGATCTTTTCCAAAATGGACCAAACATATTTATACACAGCTATTTTAACACACCACTTGGTTTGAAGTAGCCTTTTCCTGTTTAGACAAGGAAAGATTTCAATACATACTGAAGGAAAAATGTAACACTCAGTCAAACGAAGCATCACCATCTCTGAACCCACAATTCTGCTCATGTAAAGGAGAAAACAGGTCTGGTTTGAGAATTTTACTCGAAGATAAGAAAAATAAGGCAGCAGAAGTGAAGCATGCTTCACCACTTAATCCCTTAAAACCAACCAGGATTATAAAGACCACAACAATATATTGCACAAAATACTGCAGGTTGAAAATGTTGATTTTTTGGATCTGTGATTACTCAGCAGGACCCTGGAAATCCCACATGTGGCATTTTATATTTTCCCCGCTAAAACTCTAAGTGTCGTCTAATTACAAATTTTAACACACTTGTTAAAAATAACAATAGTCTATTACATTGTGTGACACTGTTATTATGAAATATGGACCCATAGAAAAGGTCAGTAGTTACTGGTAATTTCAGCAGAACAAGGTTTTCTTATGACAGTGATCTTAAACTCATCAAGTAATTATCAAGTAAAAAAAAAAACAAAAAAAAAACAACTGTTTTAAACGTGGTCCTCAGACTGGGGCCATAAGATATTGCATTATATCTAGGATTTGAATAAAGACAGCTGGTCCTAGATCAGCGTAAAAAAGCTTAGTGCATCTTTATTTGAAGCATGATTTTAGGCCCCCCTTCCACCACAACCACTACTGATGCTCATTTCACAGTCCAATTTGCCCAGCAAGGGGCTGCAGATTCACAGCTCTAACTCTACCAAGTAAGACAAGAGATTCAAAAAAGGAAACCTTCAGGGGTTTAAGAGCTAGAAGTTAAAGTTATTAGCTCTCTACCAAGTTTTGTCATGTTTTTGCTTGTGAATCTATGGTTTTGTTTGTTTTTGTTTGTCTCTATCGTTTTGTGTTTTGAAAATTTGTAAGCGTCTTTGGCTACGTTTACACAGCAGGTAAAAGTGGCCCAAATTTGATTTTTTTCCCCTCATATGTGACACAGATGTGTTATCTTTGTTACAGTGCGAACAGCAAAAAAACACACTGAATCTGACATTTTCAATTCCGATTTAAGATGCTTTTATATGTGGTACTGAAATCCGATTTGTATCTGACCTGCGGCAATGCGACTCAGTCTGAACAGCCAGATGGGAATTCATGCGACTTTTACGTCAATCCAACTCCATATTCATCATCATTGTGCGCTGCTGAGACCTCAAACATTTAGGCTGATGTTTCTGTACTAAAAAATTAGAAGAGACTCATCCAAAACCCTCCACGTTTGAAGACATTTTGAAAGAAATGCTGAACGCGGTCGTAGGAGAGCGACTCTGCAGCGTCAAAGAACAGTTAAAAGTCTGAAAGCCAAGTTTAAAGAATCCGAGGACACAAACCAAAGAAGTGACCGAGGCCTTTTTACGGCGAGCTCCAGCACATTCTGGGTGATGAGCCCAGCTGTCAGTTAATAAAGCTTTATGATGGCTCCTGTGATGCTGGTGAAGATGAAACTGAAAGCTCCGAGAGTGACTGGCATTCATTGGCAGTTGTGATTGTTTACTTCTGGATGAGCCGCGTGAAGCAATATGCAGCATTGTTCTTAGGCGCATGCGGCTCAGTTTAGGAGCTGATCTGTTCAGACTGATGTCGCATACAGACCACATTTAAAAGATAATGTGAACAGCCAAACAAAAAAAAATCAGATTTAGTGAGAAAATCAGATTTGGGCCACTTTTACCTGCTGTGTGAACGCAGCCGTTGAGTCCTTCAAAAGCACTATATGAGTAAAATGCATTATTATATTACTATTATTATTATTATTACTAAAGGGCCCATATCATAGAAAACCAAATTTCCCTAGCTTTTTTGAAAGACATACATATATATATATATATATATATATATATAAAACTAAAGTTACCGAATGTATTGTTGACTCCTCCAGTCCATGCATGCTGCAAAAACAGCCTGTTTTGAATTCACTGTTTCTGTGATGTCACAAGATCCAACACGTTGCAGGACAATACAATACAGGACAGCCAAGTTATTTACATATCAGTCTTAATGACACAGAAACAAAAGCAGCTCAAATTCATATAAACAGGCTATCTTTGGTAACTAAAACCACACAAATGTTATGAGTGGACCTCAACGGAAACAAATAAAATACAAGAAAAATGTTGGATTATGGGCCCTTTGAGATTATGGTTAGTCTCTTTCTAATTTTATATTATCAAAAAAAGTCATAATCTTACAATAACATTATCCTTGATTTAGACTCTCCCTCTTATATTGTAACTTCTAACGGTGATTTAGACGCTGCCGCTGTTAGCACTACTGGGGGCGTCCACTTGGCAGAGTGAGAGTTAGCAGGTAGGTCAACAAGCTAGTGTTTTCCTCCTGTTCAGTGTAACCTTCAGGTGCTGAGTTGATTAAGCTGAAAAGCCTAAAAGTTAAAGCCTATTTCAAACACATCTGGCAACTACTGAAGGCTGTAATCAATAGACTGCATGATAAGTTATTTGTCTACATATGAAAATAACTATATATTTTTTAAGAGAAATCTTTGATAATGGCATTTAAGCCAATTTTATTTGCTTCTTGATATGTCTTTCTTTGAGAACTTTCATAAAGTTCGTTGACATTGTGGCCAATCAGTTTCACTGACTGTTCAATGAACTACTAATCAAAAAAAGACGGCATTTGGACTGATCGGACAGATCTGATGTACCTATGGCCCACTGTCCTGCTCGTCTGGTTTTGGCCGTTTCTCTCGGGGCACTCTGCCCATGTTGTAGAACTCTGTGTTGGGTCTCATGTCTGTGAGGTGGGCCAGGCGGTTGGACATGGCGAAGAATGCAGCGATAGCAGCGATGTCCCATATATCCTCTCGGTCAAAGCCGTGAGCCTCCAGCGAGGTGAAGTGTTCGTCTGTCACTGTTTCACTGCGACACACGGTCAGAGCAAAGTCCAGCATGGCTCGCTCCCGCGAAGAAAGATCCGCAACCTGGTAGTTTACTGACACCTGCAACACAAGAATAAACCAGATTCATATAAATCATCTACAGGACATAATCATTCACTAGCAACACCACACCAGGAATATCTAACAGTGACTGTTTGGTGGAAAACCTGATTACAGAATTTCCCCCTCTTCCCAAATGTAGAAACATGTTAGGTGTCTGAAACGCTTCTGTAGTTTTCCACCGGAGCTGCAAGGCTAGGGGTCGGCAGCATGCGGCTCTTTTACTGCCCTGTTGTGGCTCCACAGCAGAATTAGATTTGTAGGTAAAAATAAAATAATCCTCCTTTACAGTAAAATAAAGCTCTGCTGATCATTCAACACAGTTTAACAATAAATGGTCTTAAATGCTGGAGTTAATGTAGAACTGCTAATTCACCCCTTAACTCTGAAGGTTGGTGCGCAGACTGCTGATCACATAGCAACACAGACAACAGTCTTGCCTAGCTAGTAGTTAATGAAAAGGCAAAGAGAAAGATTTAAGCTGAACATAGTTAATTTGGAGACTGAACTGCATTCACAAATCACTCCAGCTGGTTTCCTGATATGTTTAATCTGCAACTAGAAACTCAAAAACACTAAAAAGTCACGAAGCTGAAGTTGGCTTCTTGTTCACCAGCTTCTCTGTGCATTTTTAAACACCTCAGTGTCACTGCTGGACTGAGAATAGTCCACCAACATAAAATATCCAGCCAAAAGTGTCCTGTGGGCAGCGTCCTGTGACCGCTGATAAAGGACTAGAGGATGACCAACACAGACTGTGCAGCAGCAGATGAGCTATCGTCTCTGACTTTACATCTACAAGATGGACCAACAAGGTAGGAGTGTCTAATAGAGTGGACATTGAGTGGACACAGTGTTTAAAAACTCCAGCAGCACTGCTGTGTCTGATCCACTCGTACCAGCACAACACACACTAACACACCACCACCACGTCAGTGTTACTGCAGTGCTGAGAATGATCCACCACCCAAATAATACCTGCTCTGTGGTGGTCCTGTGGGGTCCGGACTACAGTCTGTAATTGTAGAACTACAAAGTGCACCTATATAGTAAGTGGAGCTGAGAAAATGGACAGTGAGTGTAGATACAAGGTAGGTGTATCTAATGAAGTACTCACTAAGTTTGATATAACTTAGCAACTAGTCTGGGTTAACGGAAGTACGTAAAGACTCGCAAGCAGTTTGCACTGTGCTAATAAGTAAGGTATAAGCTTCCATTACTTGTAGCTTCACTACAAAGCTAAAGAGCAAACTTCACCGCAACGTTTCCTTAAGAACTCACCTGATCAGCTAGTGTGGGTTTCTTAGAGTAGATACGGTGCAGTGCACTGTGGGATACCACACAGTACAGACAGTGATTATGGGCACTGGTTGCAACGACGATCAATTCCCGATCTGCCTTTGACAAACCACCTGCAAGAAACACTTGAAATGAGACGTGTTTTTCAACAAATCAGTATCTAATGACAGAATTATGCTCCATATTTCCTTAATATGAAAAACAAACTCCTTGAGTTTCACAAAGGCTTATTCCACTGCAGCGGTTCAGCATTCAGGCGAGTGAAAACAAGGCCTTTCATGTTCTCAGTTTTCAATAATACTGAGTCTCTTACCAGTCTCCTTGTTCATGAGCGCGTCATAATAAGTGAAGAAGGCTCGGAACTCTGCTGGTCGATGAGCAAGGACCTTGAAGACGTTGGGCAAGAAGCCACCCTGTAAAAGCCACAGTAAACTGTCTGCTAGATGATACTGTAGCACTGGCCTTTTCAACACTGATATACTGACAATACATACAAAGTGCTGGAACACACACATAAATGCATACACAGATAAACAAACACATACAGTCAGCAGATGCAAAAGCTAATTTGATGCCATACAATTATGTGCAAATGTTTGGGCACGCTTGGTACAAATGACATATTTAGTTGATTTCTGACATGAAAGAAAAAAAAAACAGAACATTTTTTAGCAAATGTTAATGCAAAGTTACTTTATATTAAATGAAAATGAAAAATAGTAATTGTGGCATGTGCGAAAGTTTGGATATACCTAACCAGTCCCAGCAAGTCCTCAAGTTCCGCTCATAACATTTGTGTTTTTATGAACCAAAAATGGTCATAATTAATTTACACATGACCATTTTTAACTTCTCCTTATCTTATCATTATTATATCATTAAACAGGCTGCTTTTGATACAGTGTCTTTAAGACCGATATAAGATACATGAAATCTGTTCTGATTGGCTGTCCTGTATTGTGCATCATTCAAAAAGCTGTATATTTTATTGTGCTTCATTTGGAGCTGAAACACTTCGGCATTAATGAGCAGGGCTAAAGTTCTATAGGCTGAAAAAGGTGGATGTATGTAAATGAGTTGGTCGTCGTGACTTCACGCAAACAGTGAATTCAAAATGGACTGTATGGACTGGGGAGTCATATGTTTGGAAATTTTAACAATATTTACATGTTACTTCAAATTCCTTTATTTAAAAAAAGAGGGAAATTTGCTTTTCTATGATCTGGGCTCTTATAGGCCTAACAAATTAAGTAAGTTTTGAAACCTAACAACTAGAAGGGTCTCCACACTTTTGTACATGATACAATTACTGGGATATCTGCATGTAGCTAAGTACTGACTTGCACATGCCACAATTACTATTTTATTATTAGTTTTTTTCAATTAATCAAATGCATAACTATGCTTTAATGTTTGCAGAAAGAAAAAAAATTAATAGTTTGCTGTGTTTACTTCTTTTTACGTAAAAGAATCATCAAAATATCTCATTTGGTCAACATGTTTTGCATACACGTGTACCTTTGTTTCGACCTCCTCCATCAGCTCCACGATATCATACGGCAGGTTTTTCCTGTAAGGCACTGGATAGCGGCTGATTCTCTCCTCTTCATTGCTGTAGTGTCGGAGGCTGGCTGGCATCCTGTGACACACTCTACCTTTCTTTAACAGAAGAGAGGACTGCACCTGTTCACACATACACGGACTGTTAGCCATCAGCATCAGTGAATCCTTCACGATCCAACAGTAATCATGTGCCATTAGTGTTTACATCACAATAAGAACATGCATTCATTCCACAAGGCCTTATTGAATTAGATTAATTGACAGTAGAGCTGAGGGACCGGTCAACTGCTAAAAAGTTTAGTAACTTTGTATCTACACAGATATTTGGGTTTGCAGCAGCATACAGCTCATTACACGTAATAGTAAATTTACTCACTATTATGTTGTACTATAGCACTCTTAAGTGCTAAACAAAGTCTGGTGTTTTTTTTTAGCTAGACCTCAGGGAGGCACTAAGCAGGCCAATACAGAGTGGCAACAGTGGCCCGCAGTGGGCCGGTGATGGCATAAAAAATTCACTTAACAATAAAAAAAATATATTGTGATTTTTTTTCAAATGGTAATCAATATTAAAGGGGCAGTATGTAAGATTTAGTGGCATCTAGTGGTGAGGCTGCAGATTGCAGCCAACTGAATACCCCATACTTTCCAAGCGTGTCAAAGAACCTACGGTGGCTGTCAGGTTTTCTGCAATTTCATTTCGCTTCTCCCTCCGTTGCTTTTTCTTGTGTCAAAATTTAGGTTCTCAAATGTCTCACAACACAAAATGGTTGGCCAGCACATGCAGCGATCACTGATTCTTCTTCTTTCTACGTCTTCCACCAAATTCAAGCTGCCGCTCCAATGTAAAACCATGACAGGCACTCTAGAGCCAGAATTTGGTTTATCCATTCTGGGCTACTGTAGAAACACGGCAGCTCTACATTGCGGTCTTACGTAGATAAGAAGGTCTCATTCTAAACTAACAAAAACACAACGATTCATAGTTACAGGGGATTATACACTAAGGAAGACATGGTTTTGTATACTATATTCCATTTCTGCTAATAGAGCCGCCTAAATCTTACACGCTGCACCTTTAATACAAGCCTGGCAAAAACAATGCACAAAAGCAGCTTTGTCAATTTTATTTTATCCCTTGCCTCTAAAAACTAAATATATGCCCCCTGATGTTTCAGTTGTCAACTCAACTAACTAAAAAAAAACAAAAAAAAACGATGAAAACAGTCCAATTAACTTATCGGTATTCTGTTGATATTTTATATTCACTTATACACGTCACATATTGTTCAAAATTTCCCAACATATTTCAAAATATATTTCACAGAAAATTGCTTTTCTGGGGGGCTTTCATGCTTCCTGGATAAAAAAGTGGGCCGTAAGGTGGTAAAGCTTGAGAATCCCTGCACTAGGCCGCATTCAATGTCATAGATATGAAGCATCACTTTTACACTGCAGCCCTGGTGCTCTGCCTATATTTATCTCCACAAGTGAGCTGAAGGGGCACACTTGATCATTGGGGACTGGACAGAAAATGAGCATTTCCACAGGAGTTCATTTAGGCCAGCCCTTCTCCATACTAAGGATAAGTTGTTCCAGTGGTTTTTGTGGATTTTGCACATTTTGGCTCTTCATATCTACACACAGGAGCTATATGCGCATTAGTGAAGTAATAAGTGAGGGAATGAGATTGAGAAAACGAGCGAGAGGGTTACAAGCGGGCATCATAAATTGCAGTGACTTTTCTGACCAATAGTGAACTTAAATTGTGATTATGTGCTATAAATTAAGGTTCGTGCCTGTTGTTTTTTGGCCAAGAGGACCAGAATATCCACTTTTTCTTGGGGCGTGAGACTGTCAGCAACTTGTGGTTGTGGTGTCACAACACATGGATGTTTGGCTGGATCTGATTGGTCTGTCTTATCTACAGGCAGTTCACAAGCTCTGTGTTATAAGGTTAACTTTCCTCTTAAGACAATGTTTTTGATAATGCAGGCAATTATCTAAAAAGCAGTTCGTGTTAAATTGTGATTTCTATATAAAACTATATAAAAACAAATTTTCAGCCCTATTATCACCACATCTATGCAATAAAACTGCATGGATATAATCGCTTTCCCTTAATTGCAGTCCATCATTAGAATTATCATATATCTAATTATATATAATTTTAAGACCAAACATCAAAACATCATTTAGGTGTAAGCATTAGTTCTCATCCACAAACAAATGATTCTGCTCTTTCCTTCTCCTTCTCATTTTGGCTTGGTTATTAGATGGTGAGCTGCTCACATGTTTCAGAGATTTGAGAACTCATAAAAATAACAAAAACTATATCTAAAAAAGTTACTGTAGCAGTAAAATATCATGTGGCAGGTATACAAAGTATTCTAAGGCTTAGGTTAATTAATGTAAGTCCAAGTCAGCTACTTGGCTTAATTCATTGCAGAACAAAACGGTACAAAAACACAGAACTGAAGTGAGCTTATTCGACAGCTTCTTGCTCCAATTTTTCCGTTCCACCTTAAATGGTGCAGTAGTTACTTACTGGCGCCTCATAACAAACGAGAAGCTGAATAGGAAGCCAAAATTAGCCTCGTACAAAACTTGTACGAACACTGAAATCTAGCCGTGCTCGAAATAAAAAACCTGATGCATTCCTTACCAAAAGGCCCACAACAGGAGGACGAATGGTCCTCACGACAACTTGACAGGACATTTTTGACTCAAAACAAACTGTGTTTACTGAACTATATCCACTGTGTTTTGTACCATTACGCGCCTGCAGTGACAGCACAGCCAATCAGCAATTAGAATTCTGCCACGCCCCCCTTGGTTTAACCAATGAACTTCTTCATTTTTTCCTTCCTGTTATTAACAGGGCAAAATATAACAGCGTATTAATAATCCACGTTTTAATTAAATTAAATTAGATTGTCATCCACTGAGAGAACCACATGTTTATAACACTATTTAATTTTCTTAATTTCTCCTTCATGTCTGAATTAGCACAATTTGTGCTTTTCTTTTGACCACATTAACAAAAAATTCAATTACATTAAAAACATTGTTTTTTGCTAATCAAAACATATAATGATATAAAAAAATGACCGCATTCAAACACGTTCAGACGTTTTAAAATTAAGTTAGAAAATCACTGACAACAATAGTGTCACATTTAGAAAGGAGAAAGATAAACTAAGGACATCCATTCAAGGAGGATCACAATTTAAATAAAATAAAATAAACACATAACAGTAAGGAAAAATTATAGGGCTGTTGTGGAAATACATATTTCAAAATAGATCGTATATTCTAAATTGCCAAAAGAAGCTAACAGCTATTTTTAGATGTCAATCACAAAAAGCCCGGGGTCTCTTTTTAAAAGCGATGACAGCGGAGGGGTTTCAAATGTTCCAACGTTAATGTATTTAAATCAAAACAAATCACTTTTATTGTCACATCACATTTACACAGGTGGAAAGTGAGTGAAGATCTTAGGTGCGTAGCCCCCTTATAGAATTTAAATATATATATTTATATATATAAGAAGAAAAAAGAAATATATAAACACCGACTCTGAATATACACATATACACAACATACACTAGTATTGCACTATTCCAATGTACAGTTGTACAGTAAGTTGAAATAAAACTATGAAATGTAGCTACATTCCGTATTTAGACTTTTATTTTGACAGAAAGCGAAGGTGGAGCGTCAGCAGGAAATGAGCTGTGTGTTGTTGTGTTGACTGTGTGGGCGAGGGCAGCGGGTTTGTGTTGGTTTTGGAGCTGTTGGTCATTTAAACATCGCCCCAGTCCTTCATTTCGGCTTTCAGTTCGCATAAAGGAGCCCGTGTTGTGTTGTGTTGTGTTGTGTTGTGTTGTGATGGGCGGCTACGGGGTGATGGCGAATGAAGAATCCGTAGATTATTCCGTGCATGAAGCCTGGAACGAAGCGACCAACGTTTACCTCCTAGTTATTTTGGTCAGCTTCGCGCTGCTGATGTACGCTAGAAAGTAAGAACCCACATTTGATCATTTTAACGGTTATAGAAACCCTCCTGAGCGCTGTAACTGATAATGACACGCAGTCTTTAACTGAATTCTGTACTATACACGCCCCTCAGCCATAACATTAAACCCACCTCTTTGTTTCTACACTCACTGTCCAATTTATCAGCTCCACTTACTATATAGGTGCATAGGTGGTCCATCTGTTTCTCTGCATTCTTTGTTACCCCCTTTTACCCTGTTCTTCAGTTGTCAGGACCCCCATGGACCCTCACAGAGCAGGTATTATTGCCGTGGTGGTGGTGGTGTGTTAGTGTGTGTTGCGCTGGTCTGAGTGGATCAGACACAGCAGTGCTGCTGGAGTTTTTAAACACCTCGGTGTCACTGCTGGACTGAGAATAGTCCACCAACCAAAAGTATCCAGCCAACAGCATCCTGTCACCACTGATAAAGGACTAGAGGATGACCAACACAAACTGTGCAGCAGCAGATGAGCTATCGTCTCTGACTTTACATCTACAAGGAGGACCGACAAGGTAGGAGTGTCTAATAGAGTGGACAGTGAGTGGACACAGTGTTTAAAAACTCCAGCAGCACTGCTGTGTCTGATCCACTCAGACCAGCACAACGCACACTAACACACCACCACCACGTCAGTGTTGCTGCAGTGCTGAGAATGATCCACCACCCAAATAGTACCTGCTCTGTGAGGGTCCATGGGGGTCCTGACCACTGAAGAACAGGGTAAAAGGGGGCTAACAAAGTATGCAGAGAAACAGATGGACTACAGTCTGTAACTGTAGAACTACAAAGTGCTCCTATATATATATATGCATTACAAACCTGACACCTATGTTTTAAAATGTGTGCATATGTATTATCTTTGCATCGAAAATCTGTGAGTAGGCCTACAATTATTTTTATTCAGTGTTCACTGCACAGAATCCACTTAAACAGGCTTAATTATGCTTCCTTTGTAATGCAGTATGCAGTTGGTCTGTGTTCTTTAAGTAGACAGTACAAATAATATGCTCAGAACAAAATACACTGTGTCATAATTTAACATAACTTATTACAATAATGATAAATAATAAATAAAAAATGCCCAGCTCTACTATAATGTCAGCTATAATTTATAATGGCATGTAATTTATAACCTGTAATGTCAAATAAATAACCTCTAAAGGCATCTATAACCTATGTCAGTTGTAATCTATAATAGCTTGTATTTTTTAGTGGCATATAACCTGTATAATCTGTCATGGTGTGTTGTGGCTGCTATGCGAGTTAACAATCCAAACAGGAGGTATTACTTGACGTTCGTAATGTGGCGCTGGCCAGCACATACATGGCAGCAAAACATGTGACTCAGTTCTTTCATTTCTGTGCAGGAATAAGAGGAAGATCATGCGCATCTTCACAATGCCACCCACGGTCGCAGCCACACCAGAGCCAAACTTCTACGACAGTTTGCAGAAAGTTCGGCTAAGGCAACAGCTGGAAATGTATTCTCTTGGTGAGTCACTGCACCACCCTAATCCACTGAGGGGAAAATCAGTGTACTGATGTGCTGTAACCTTTCGCTTTCTTAAAGGTTTTATTCAGTGTACTAAAACTTTCCGCTCTTATTTTTTTTTTAGCAAGAAAGTTTGATCAGCAGCACCAGCAGGCTCAGGCCCAGGAGAGTGTGCAGCTTTCGATGGAGTGAGTGAGACCCCCAATGTGAAAAAGCTACATGCTTGATATTGTGTTATTTATGCATCAAACACTTCGGCTCGGATCTTTAAGTTACTTTAAGCTGCAGTGCTCTTGTTTTTTTCTTTTTCTTCCTACACTGAAACCCAAGTACGGTAACAGAGCACAGTGAAGAGCACTTACACTGTGGGAAAATGACTGTATCTAACTGGGAGATCTTAATATGTTTTTCTTTTTACTTGAAGGACGTTTGTACCTCTTTAATCATTCCCACATTGCCAAAATTAGGGTCCATTATGTTACTTTCAGATTGTGAAACTGAATCATTGTGGTGTACTGCTGCCATCTAGTGGTTGTTTTGGATAGTGCTGGAACTGGTTTATGGAATGGCAAATATATTTTTTTCTGTTTCTATTTGGTTAAATAGCGCGTTTGAAGACATCATATGGTTAGAAACACAGTCAACAAATATATTTTAAAGAGAGAAAAACTTTGTCTGCCTTTAAAAGTCTTCAAAAATACATTTATATTATTACAGCACAAGATATACTTTTGGCTACATATCGCCCTCTGGTGGTGTTTTTGGTTTACTTCACCATATGTAATGCAAATAGGCAGTTTTCTCTTCTCCTTTGTATCTCTACTCAATCTAAATGGGCATTTCATACTGTTTTTGTACTTGCAAATCAGATCATTAGGTAATTTTTACTTCTATTTTAGTCAAGATGAGGCACTGCATTCTGTAAACGTTTCCCCACCCTCTTTGTTTTTAAGGAACCGCCTTTTGGGGGTGTGCATGTTTGGGCTGCTTAAGTCCTGGTAGTTTTTATGGTTCTGTTGCCTGATGTAGCAGCTTTGATTTAACTTTTAACATCTCAAACCTTTGATCACTTCTGTTTTCCAGTAAACACTATCAATTTACATGGTTACACCCAGTAGAAGTATGGAAATCATTGTTTTACACATAGATCCACAGAAAAGTACACTGTAAATGTAAATGTAAATAAAGTAATGGAAAATAAGAAAATGTAGTGTCATTTTTCTTTCAAATAGTTGAGGTTAATACACTTAAACTAAGAGCTTCTGTTGTCTTTGTACATCATGATAGTGTCATTCAAATTGAACAAGCTGTGTTGAGCTGGGAAACCAGTACGGACACCAAATTTGTGGTCATACTATAGATTTTCATTGGGATTAAGTCTGGATTGACTGAACCACTCAAGGAAGTCTATTTTCCTCAGTTGAAAACACTCCAGTACTTTGGCTTAACCTAAATAGGCCTTATTGTGCACTGCCTGAAGGATTGTTGGCCCACAAACACCATCACCGTTGCACCTTTTGCACTTTTTTGTGCTTGTGCTTCTTCTTTGGAAGCATATATAATACACTGGGCCCTTTCAGAGGCAGGTGATCCACAAATGTTCTACACAAGTGGGCTCCATGATCAAATAGACCTCTTGCAGTATTATAATGTGTCTGAAAAAATTTAAGCTCAGTTGGGAAGGACAAGAATCAGGGCTGCACGATTGCGGCTGTGCTGATGGATATTGCGATTTCCACATACCTTAAAATAATTTAAAAGTGCCATTAAGGCCACAAACTAGACTTTATATGTTACTTCTTGTGTCATGCAGTGTTTTGTAGTGAAGCATTATCTCCCTCTCCGTTATCGGTTTGACAGAATCCATCTGTTTTATCCTGTTTTCATGTTCTCTTTCGTCAATGTTCTCTCAATACAATACCCAGCATGCATCACGCAAATACATCATTCAACCATCGTGAACCAGTATTGTTACTCTCCCCTCAGTTGTCAGAAAATGATTGTCTTTGTTTAGTACAAAATGATCTTTTCCCCCTTCAGCCAGAGAAAAGGAACCAAACTGAATTAAGGTATCTAGATAGCCAGGTAGCTACATGGCTAACTTTAGCTTTTCACTTGTTCTCCTCATCTGACCAGTCATTTCTGTCATTTGAGTAACCTCTTCTCTCCACTCTAGTCAGGATTTGAAGACAGTCTACAGCTGCACTAAGATGTCATCGTTAGTCATTTGGGTTTCTTCTGCATTCGCCAAACCATACACCTCGAGGTTTTTCAAAAGTTCCTCCCACTTTCGAAGTTCATCATCAGAAGTCTATAAACCAGAAAAATCACGCTAATGTAGGATGCGAGTAAGCATGTTATAACAGATTTAGAGATTTGTGGAATTACGTCATCTGCATCACCTCAGATTCAGTTAGGTTGCTGTCAGTATAACACAAAACATTTGATTTTAGTCTTATTTACATAATACAGTGATATGAGTATTGCAAAGGCCAGTATCACAGTAACAACTAACAAACAATATACTGTGCAGCCCTACTATGAAATTTTGTTTATTTATTTTTTCTGATGTGATCACTAATTTGTAGTGCTTAGTTGTTGAACAATTCTGGGTGATTTTTACGTAATTTATTTCAAAAATCAAAAAAGAGAGAGTGTCTGCACTCACTGATCACAATCCTCAGGATTCATTTCCCATAATTAAAGGGCCCGAATTTCCCTCGCTTCTTTGAAATAGAGTTTTCAAATACAATGTACAATTTACTTTCCAGTCCACACAGTCTGTATATGAAAACTATTTTGATTTCATTGTTTCAGCGATATCACCACAACACACTTACATATATCCGATCCTATTTAGCCTACAGCGGTTTAGCTCCGCCCTGTTCATACTGAAGTTCTAAGGAGTGTTCTCTACGTGCTTTTTAAATGAGGCACAATACAGGGCCAATCAGAACAGAGCTCATTTACATGTATCAGTCTTAAAGCACAGATACAAAAACTGCCTGTTTAATTCTAAGGGATAAAGAGAGGTTGAAAGGTTGAAATGGCCATTTTTGGTACATGATAACACGATATATATATATATGTATATATATATATATAGCTCTACAATTACAGACTATAGTCCATCTGTTTCTCTGCATACTTTGTTAGCCCACTTTTACCCTGTTCTTCAGTGGTCAGGACCCCCATGGACCCTCACAGAGCAGGTACTATTTGGTTGGTGGATCATTCTTAGCACTGCAGTAACACTGATGTGGTGGTAGTGTGTTAGTGTGTGTTGCGCTGGTACGAGTAGATCAGACACAGCGGTGCTGCTAGAGTTTTTAAACACCTCAGTGTCACTGCTGGACTGAGAATAGTCCACCAACCAAAAATATCCAGCCAACAGCGTCCTGCGGGCAGCGTCCTGTCACCACTGATGAGGGACTAGAGGATGACCAACACAAACTGTGCAGCAACAGATGAGCTATCGTCTCTGACTTTACATCTACAAAGTGGACTGACGAGGTAGGAGTGTCTAATAGAGTGGACACAGTGTTTAAAAACATAATTGACTTAATCTGACGAGAAAGCTTTCTCCAACTAAATAAAGAAAAGACAGAGTAATGGTATTTGGTATTAAGGAGCAAAGACTTGAGGTCAGTGCTCATCTTCACTCCAGAGCTCTTAGGACTACAGATCTATAACCACTGGTTCTGATCTGAATTTCAACATCCTAATGTAAAAGCAATAATGAAAGCAGCCTTTTACCATCTCAAGGTTATATCAGAGTTTCAAAATTTAATGTCACAACAAGACCTAGAAAAACTCATTCACGCAATTATGTCCAGCAGACTGGACTACTGCAGTGGTCTCTTTACTGGCCTTCCCAAGACCACTCTAAGACAACTTATTCAAAATGCAACTACTAGAATTCTTATGGGAACTAAAAGATCCATATCACTCCAATCCTCAGTCACTGCACTGGCTACCAATTAACTGCAGAATTGACTTTTAAAGTTCTTTTATTGTTATTTTCTGGCCTCGGACCAGAATTCACTGTTGATCTGCTTGAAGTATACAAGCTCAGTAGACCTCTCTGATCACTAGGGACCGGTCAGTCAGTAGTGCCCAGAATCAGAACCAAACAGGGTGAGCCAACATTCGGTCATTATGCTGCCAACTGCTGAAATGAACTTGCAGGTGAGGTCAGATGTTCCAAATGTAACCATCTTTAAGTCCAGTTTGAAGACATTCATGTTTCTTATTTAGATACAGTTCAATACAGTATTTCTTTGAAATTCCTTATATTATTTATGGTTGTTTTGGCTTTCACCTCTGCAATGCACTTAATTTTGTTTGTTTAATTTTTGTCAAACATTTAATTATTTGTCTAATTATTCTTAATTTCATCTTTTATTTATGTATTAAAGGTGCTATTTAAATAAACTTGCCATGCCTTAATCCGTACCAAAACCAGCATCCAAGATGATAAAAGAATGGAAAAAGTATTTACTATGTAGGTAGCTTTGCTCATTACAGCCTGATGACCCTGTTGCTCACTCACATGGTCACTTAATAGATTACCAGTGGAAGAGAGTGCGAGTGAGGAAGGGAGAGAGGGCTTCTGAGGGGGAGGGAGAGAGTGAAAGTGTGTGAAAGGGGGCAAAAGGAGTCAAACAGAATGGCAGAGTGGCATCATAGCGAGTTCTGTACGCTGCGCTGGTGGGAGTGAGAAAAGGTAGCAGAGCTGCGGAGCGTGATTAAGAGAGTTGGAGTGTGTTTTTTGTCGTGCTTCTTGTTCTGGCCCTCTGCTTCACTCGTCTGTTTCTTCTCCCTGCTTTTGATGTGCCATGGTGTCATCCCAAGACGACTCACTACAGCTGGAGAAATGAAATTTACTGAGCCCATGCCTCATTTCCCCCAAGCTCAGGCCTCGGCGGAGATAAGAACAGCAGCTTTTCTTCTTTTTCTTTTGTCTTTCTTTTTTCTTGCGTGCTGCTCTCTTTAATCCAAAGCTCTTCTTCCAGTGTGTCAGAGATGTAATTCCATTGTAGAACATGGAGTACAAACATTTAGTTCTGTCTCTCTGTCTCTCCCTATATGTATATCAGTCTAGCTATCATTCATTAAATGAAGATTACTCTCTGTACATACTCCACCTGTCAAAAGTTTGGGGACGGTTCCTTTTAGCCTTCTCCAACTAATGTTTTAACAGTGTTTCTGTTCCTTTTCATAGAGGTAAGAACAGATCCTGGATATGGGCAGGAAGGAAGCAGAAGGTGCTGTCTGTAGTGAAATCACCCATTCGCCTAACTTTAATGTGATTTGACCTAAAATCGAATTGAAAGTTGCTTTAAAGTTGGTTTTATATTGGACATTTGGCCAAGTGACAGTTGTCCCTGTCTGTGTGGAGTTTGCATGTTCTCTCAATGTGTGAATGTACACTATATTGCCAAAAGTATTCGCTTGTCTGCCTTCACACATTTGAACTTGAGTGACATCCCATTCTTAATCCATGGGGTTTAATATGATGTCGGCCCACCCTTTGCAGCTATAACAGCTTCAACTCTTCTGGGAAGGCTTTCCACAAGGTTTAGGAGTGTTTATGGGAATTTTTGACCGTTCTTCCAGAAGCGCATTTGTGAGATCAGACACTGATGTTGGACGAGAAGGCCTGGCTCGCAGCCTCCGCTCTAATTCATCCCAAAGGTGTTCTGTCAGGTTGAGGTCAGGACTCTGTGCAGGCCAGTCAAGTTCTTCCACACCAAACCCACTCATCCATGTCTTTATGGACCTTGCTTTGTGCACTGGTGCACAGTCATGTTGGAACAGGAAGGGGCCATCACCAAACTGTTCCCACAAAGCTGGGAGCATGAAATTGTCCGAAATCTCTTGGTCTGCTGAAGCATTAAGAGTTCCTTTCACTGGAACTAAGGGGCCGAGCCCAACTCCTGAAAAACAACCCCACACCATAATCCCCCCTCCACCACACTTCATACTTGGCACAATGCAGTCAGACAAGTACCGTTCTCCTGGCAACCACCAAACCCAGACTCGTCCATTGGATCGCCAGACAGAGAAGCGTGATTCGTCACTCCAGAGAACACGTCTCCACTCCTCTAGAGTCCAGTTGTGGCACTTTACACCACTGCGTTCGACGCTTTGCATTGTGCTTGGTGATGTAAGGCTTGGATGCAGCTGCTCGGCCA